GTTGAGCATACTCTCAAGTGTTACTCATTTTTCAAGATGATGAATTACTTATAGTATTTCGATTATTTAAACTATTAAATGAATGAGATATATCTAGTCTCATTTTTTAATGTCAAAATACTATTTTTTTAAAATCAAAACTATACACATATTAAATTAAATATATTTTAAAAAAAATTGACAGATAGTAATTATTTTGGAGGAGTTTAAAGATGTTAAATTAGCTAGAGTTATCAAAATCATGAGAGCCCATGTTGGTTGCTTTCTTGTGAGGTTGATTTTGAAAATTATGGTTTATAATTGAAGAGGAAATGGACATGAAACTACTTGGATATGATGAAATAATACTTAAAATATTGATCTAAAGTTTAAATTAATTATTTTTAGAATCTTAATTACATAGTCGTTAGTAAGATGCAATTATTATGAACAAAAAAATTTTGCTCCACCAACATAGATCAACCAATTTTGTAGATTGAGTTTGCCATCAAACGAGTAAACGAATGTGCCTATATTATGATAAGAAGCATCGTCAAAAATATTTGGTCGATATTGACATAGCCAATATTAGCAACATAATGACACAATGTTGAAATATTTCAAATAGCTATTTTGAATTGTTGGGATCATAAAATTTATAATCTAATCAAGTAATCATTTTTACATAGAGCCTGAATTCCGAGGCCAATATTAATATCAGAGTTTGAGTTGAACTTAAATAGGGCTCTATCATCGACAACCTTCTTGCTCGTCACCATCTAAAGTCTTGACTATGTTCAAAACTACAAGTAGTGTGTGACTTCCTTGTCATTATTGTCTGGAGATGTTATGGCACCAATCTACGGTTCCTAGATAGTGTGTGATAACATAGTACGGATAGGTTAGTCGTATGATGAGAAATGAGGGCGGGGAGAAGATGTCAGCTAAGAAGTTTAGGTGATAGCAACTAGACTGCAAGCTGGCATAAGAAAATAGCCAATGGGATCCGAAGTTCGTAATAATAGAGGCCATTGGATGTTTGAAAGAGATCATCACATTAATCCAATCAGGTTACAAAAATAGCATCTGAGAGATAAAACAAAAATAAAACTCCAATAGAAAAACAAGGGAGAAGAAATCCCCAAATAGCATAAACTAAGAAAAAGTCCCCTCCATAGTTTCCACATAATATACCTAAGCTAATACCTTAATTAAACCATAATTAAATGTTAAAATAGGGTGAATAAGGGTACACACAACATGTAACGGTCAAAGTAGTGGGAAATTTCCTGCTATAGGGTCCTCCAAGAATTAGAACTAGTTTTGATTCCAGCTTGCAATCGCAGGATTCAGTGATATGCTACCGCTTCACCTTCACTCCCGCACCCTGCTATATATATTCACCATATAGAAGGATCTTGTGAACTCTACTGTCATATGTTTCGATTGTATTAGCATTCAACTTGAGGATTCAGCATCAACTTTCTTCATTTGAAATGCAAAGAGGTGTCGTGTGCTAATATTTCTCCAAGCAATTAAAAGGAGGAATTATTACGTGCCCCCCGCATCCACCCCTGCATGCGGTGTCCGATCCTGGCCGTAGATCACGGCGATCTACTGTCAGGATTACTTCCATTTTTTTTATAAAAAAAAAAATTTAGGTGGGGCCCACCGAAATACATCGGGACCGTAGACCAGGTGATTTACGGTCCGGATCGGACACCGCACGCAGCTTATTACAATATTTCATTCTTTTTCAATTAAAAGTGGCCATTCTCATAACAATATTTCATCAAGTTTATGTATGCAACAACAAAAGGTTTATATTGCTTTTTTCGCTTTCACAACTTTCAACATAAAATTTGTGTTTTCTTATAGTAATATTTATATGCTGTCATCTCACATATCATACGAATCTCCTCTATCGTACAACATAAATTTCTCTATGACTAATAAATGAAGCTCAACACTATTTTTGTTCCTTTTAGTAAGCAAAGCGAAATTTATTTTGATATACAGGAATCAAGGAAAATGAGAAGAAAGCACAACCCTTTATCCCAATCATTCACTAGCTAAGCAATCTTACGTAAATATATAGATCAATTAAAATAAGCACATAATTCACACCTAATCCTTGACACAAAGCAAACTGAGAGCTCACATAAGCCTAAGAAATTCACTTGCATGAAAATTCAACGCGCTGGAACTCACTTGTGGGCGGAGGCAGCTGTTACACCAACCCACAGTGGATGCATCCAGCTGTTTTGCTCTGTTCCGTAGCTGGAATGGCAACTCAGCTTTCTCGCATGAGACCACTAACTCAACACCCAAAAATTACTCTCATATATATATATATATATATATGATACGTACTTAGAGCAGTTGGTCGAGCATCTATTTGTCAGTTGTAAATCCCCTCTGGTCTGGGGTTCGAATCCCCTTGAGTGTGGGATGTGGTACTCGAATTCTTAGGTGCATGAAGGATGGTCAGGAATCTCTGGTCATTCATTTTTAATATATATATAAAGGATTGGTCGAAGGGCGGACTCTCAAACCCGGGTCAAAAGGAGACTGACCTAGAGCCGCCATCAGCTCACGTAAACCTGGTGTGTGTGTGTTTGAAGGATTGAAAATAATCCCTGAAAAGAAAATATATATATATAAGAGAGAGAGAGATAATACAACCAGATAAAATACCAACACAAAATCTCTAGGAAGTCAACCCGATTAGATAGAAAGGAGCACGAGAAACAATGGAGCCCACAAGTGCACGACTAAGAACCTGCGGGCAGAGGACCAAGGTCTCTCAGCAAAAGACCAAGGGTTTAGTGCCAGATGAATAAATGTCCAAGAACAAGGCACCTGAAGACCTAGCGTCCACCAATGGAACACCAGAAGACTTGTCTGACCATGTGCAAATCCCTTTAGTTGGAGCTAAAGGCCAATTGAGCGATGACCAACCGAGTGAGCTTCTTTTCGAATCAATGCCTGTTGAGCGAAATAAGGGCACCGACAGCCTCTCTTCTTGACAATACTCAACGAAAGGTCATAACATTGCCAGTTATCTCCCCTAAGATTCCTCATCTCAGATTGAGAAATGGCCACAACTCACTCAGTAGAATGTCCTAAAGGATCCCTTCTGTTGAGGGGTAAGCTACCTATCGAATTATGGTAATAAGTCTTATGTGTAATTGTCTAGTTTTGTCCCATCGACAAGTGTTCCTCATCCATAAATCCACAGTGGACTACCAACCCAACACAACCAACTAGCATAATTAGGTCGACCGAGCCAACTTCAGTCTACCTAATATTCATTTGAAGGCCGGTCGGCGACCCTGATTCCCAATAGGAGGACAAGCTAGTCTGGTCAAATCAAGGTCCGTTATCCCCGGGCTAACCGAACCATAGGACAACCCACGAAGCATTTCAGTTGAAAGTGTGTTTATTACTTGTAAGGCATGTTGAATTTACAACTTAATTTTGTATTTTTTTTTTCATTATTGAGTTGGAGTAAAATTTAAATATGATTAAAATTTCTTTAAAATTGCTTTTATAACTTTTATTTAATTCGAGTTGTAATTAAATTTCATAAATTATTTACAGAAAGCTAATAATTTAAACATGTATTTACTTATTACTTGAAATAGAGGGATGCTTAAATTTTAATTAAATTTGACAAAATTTATTGAGAGTTATTTATACTATCTAGTAAATTTTAATTTTCTTGTTATAAAGTGTTTTAAGTTATTTATTTAAAAAATTGTTAGATATTTACAATCATAATTATACCAAAATTCATACAAAAAGATATTAAAATATGGGTCTCTCAAAACGATTCGTTGTTCGTGAAAAGCTCATGTTCGGCTCTTTCGCTAAATTAAGGCGCCGAATAGGAGCAAAGATTCGTTCACTCATGTTCGGCTCGTTTTGGTATAAAATATGATGAGCATTGTTTTTTAAAAATTTAATTGACTGCAATGGTATAAAAATTTATAGTCAATTAAAAATATTAATTAAAAAATTAGAATAAATAATATTAAATTAAATTCAAATAATATTTTAACATAAATTATAATTTTTAAATCAAGCTTCAATCTTAACATCTTATACCTACGTGATTAGAATTGTCAAAACGACTATTTGTTCGTGTTCAACTCACTAAGCAAATGAGCCGAACACGAATACATTTTTTGAGCTCAAAATATAAACGAGCTGGGCCTAGTGTCACGGACAAATAGTCCCACATCGGCTAGGTGTAGGGCCGAAAAGCAGTATTTAAGTCCTGGGCTGCCCACCACCCATAAGGGCTCTTTGGGAGGTGACAAGTGGTATCAGAGCAGACTACTATCTGCCAGGTGTGTGGACTCTCCATGGTCCAGTGGGACCCTCGGTGGAGCCGATCCGTGACGAGGGCGTCACGTGATTGGGTGGAGGAGAATGTCACGGACAAATAGTCCCACATTGGCTAGGTGTAGGGCCGAAAAGCAGTATTTAAGTCCTGGGCTGCCCACCACCCATAAGGGCTCTTTTGGGAGGTGACACTAGGCTCGCTTGTGTTCAGCTCGTTTACACGACACTCGTACTCAGCCATTTATTGAATAGCAAATCTATATAAATAAATAAGCAAGCTAACATTTAAATTTTATATTCAAATAAGAGGCCGGAGAAGTCAACAGAACCAGACCACCCTTTTTTTAACGTGATTAATCTATTAGACCTAATTAATCACACTAATTAATCACAACCGATCCCACCTGAGGCTGGAAAAGATGATCACAACCAAACCACCCTTCATTTTGCTAATTATTTAGTATAGGAATCAAAGAACTGGAAGGCATTTATCTTGCGGCCGATTATAAAAATTCATCAAGATCATTTTATAATTTTGCTCAACGTTATACGCTGGCTTGAAATTATAGAGAGAAACTTTTCAAAAATACATTTTTTTTTTGTCATATTAAAAATTCAAACCAGATTATCAAATGATCAGAAACAGAGCAATCTCTGCACACGCTCTGGCTCTCCATGCGGCAGTCTGATTTACAGTAAATTTAGTAATTTTATGTAATCACTGGCACAGCAAACATCAGAAAATCGTTGTAAATAATGAACGAATTGAAAAAAACAACAACCAAAAAAAGAAATTAAATCAATGTCCAGTTGTCTTCCTCCATTCCCATCATCATCATCTTCATGATCTGGTTTTCCATCTCCATTTCTATTCCAGCTTCCTGTTGCATTTCCTGCGGCTGATCTTGTCGCCGTTGCTGTTTCTCTCGGATGGAGTTGAGCTTCTCCAGCTTCAGTCCATCGCGGAAATGCTTTATGAACACATCCGCTTTATTGTTCACGTCTGGGCTCGGACAGAAAGGCGACGCCTTTGCTCCATCGGCGAAATGTTGGTCGCTGCTGTCTTCATCGGAGGCTGGAGGCGGAGGCGGTGGCGCCGGAGGGAGAGGGGACGGCGGCGCGATAGGGTATGTGTTGATATAAGTCGGTTTTTTTTCTCTCCTCTTCCGTGAAGGGAGACGGTGGTCGGAGAAGAGCGATGGTTCCTTCTTTGGTGGAAGCGGCGGCGGCGACGGAGGGGGTGGTGCCGGTGGAAATCGCTGGTTGGAGATAGAGTTGAATCTCCTGCTTTTACTCCCCGCTTTTTTGGTTGAGAATAGTTGTGAGAAGACGGAGGATGACGGCAGGGGTGGTGGCGGCGGTGGAGGAGGAGGAGGGGGACCCAACAGCGACGCAGAGGCTAGCGAATCCTCGTCGTTGATCTTTTTGGCCTTGCTCCTCCGCTTCTGCTTGGTATAGAATAACGCGATGGCGGTCGCAATGTCCTTTGCGGCGGCACCAGAACGCTTCTTGTTGCTCTTCTTCCTCTGTTCTGGAAACACCGGCGGTGGTGGAGGTGGCGGCGGAGGAGGCGACGTAGTTGCAGGCTGGGTGTGTTGTAACTTTTTCACCGTTCTTCTATTCGGCAGAGTCGGCTGTGGAAATAGTGGTCGCGGTGGCGGCGGCGGCGGAGGTGGCGGTGGAGATTTCGAGGGGCTTTTCTTCAACTCAAAAGTGTCGACTTGGATCGTCTTAACCCCCGGATCACCGGAGATCTCCCACTCGGAGAGATCAGACGGACGACGCCGGTACAGCTGGATATCGTCGGAGAACCGCCAACTGTTGCTCATAGCCCAATTGTCCCCATTATTGAACTCCTGCCGGAGATCAGGGTATGAACTGCTGCTCCTAAACCGCCGGATTCCGACCGTTTGATTCGCCTCGTAAACGCTCTGCTCAGGAACAGGAGCGTATCCGATTGCGCCCCATTGATGTTGCGAGTTCGTCAGAGGTGGCGGCGACGTCACCGTACTTTTGTCTCCTTCTTCCTTATATTCCCCGCCACCGCCGCTCCCCGAAGCTACATCGCGGCCGAGAAGACCAATCAGAATGGCGAAGACGACGAGAGCTAGGTTAAGCGTATCCCATCCGTTCTTCACAAAGCTTGGACGAAAACCGAGGAGGTTAGAAGAGCGAAAAGATGGGATAAAGAGAATGACGAAGATGGAGACCAGAAGAACTAAAACCCATGTCCGTATCCCCGAAGAAGGAGGAGGAGCAGAAAAGGAGGAAGCTTTCCGCGACTGGGACCAATATAGAGGCGAGGACGAGGAGGACTGATCCCTATCTCCTTCCATGGAGAAGAAGAGCTCTGGAAGAGATGAGATAGAGCAGAGGAAATACGGAAAAAGGCGAGCTTTTTATTCGATTCAGTAGGCTTTCTGTTTCCCTTGCTTGGTTCTATTTTATGTATATATATATATATATATATATATATATGTCTCTTTCTTGGTTCTATTTTTTGTATATATATATATATATATATATATATATATATATATGTATCTTGCTTTCCACTCTTCGTCGCTTCGTTCATCTGTTCATTGTATTTGAAAAGGAGGCGAGGGCCTGTTTTTATGGTTTATAATTTCGAGTGAAGTCGGTTGCTTGCTTGTGATGTTCTTTTGGAAAACAGAGCGAATGTAACTTGGGAATGCGATGGGCATGATTAGCCTCAATGATTCGGATTTCTCTCTCACACTACCTTTAATATCACGTTGAAAATGAACCAACAAAAGTGACCTGCCGTTATTAGCCTCTTAGACTGGTGTTGGTTTGGAAGAAATATTACTCGCATAATATTGTCTCATTGGTTACAATTCTCATGTTGCAAGTTTCGCCAACCATAGATAGTAGCAACTAATAAATTATTCAGACAAATGAAAAATCTGTTTGAATGATATGTTATATGATACAGGTATAAGTCTTAGATGCAAAAATTATTTTTTCACCTTTTCAGCAATTCGAAGATTTTTTGCTTAAATTTTGTATGAATGTCATACTAACTAAAAAATCAAAACTTTCACGTAAGAAAAGAGATCGAGGAAATGTTAAAGAGGGTCAAACATGACAACAAGTTTGCCCAGCTGACGCATATCAAAGACCGACCAACCTTGGCTCCGAGATCGCCATGTCCGACCAGAGAAATGAAGACAGTCAGTCATGTTGCCAAGATAGCCTCGCTGAGCACATATTAAAGTCCGGCAGACCATGACACCAAGATTGCCCTATACGACCTAGGGAATGAAGGCGGGCAGGTGTGGTGTCAAGATTGTATGGCTGAGCGTACATCAAAGAGAGACAGACCATGGCGCAAATTTCACCTGGTCTGATTCAGGGAATGAAGACAGCCAGTTATAGTGCTAGGAATGGTCTATCTAGCTAAACCCCTAGAGGTAGTTCCCAGTCTAACATCAACAAGTGTCATTAAGAACAAGGTGTGAATCACTCCACTGGAGAGCCTAAGTAACAATCTTTGTTGAGGTGGCAAAGAGACCCTCACAAACGTATCAACCAAAAGGTATAAAAGTACAAATTACAGACAACTGAACGGCCTCATATCATTAAAAAAAATATGCAATCACAAAAATGTTGTATTTACAAATATTGGTTATACAAAATGATAAAACAATAATAGTAATAAACTATGTAAAAGAAAGAAAAAATAATAATAAGCAAGAAATACATTTTTCAAAAGAAAAGCTTCAAGCTTCAAGAGGTCGGCTGGAAGAATCCTGCTCATTTTCAGCACCCGAGTTGTCCCCAGATGACCCTTCGAAGCTGGAAAATAAAGTTGCAAACTCTCACAGGTCAGAATAGTTTGCATTGACCAAGCCCGATCGGGAAGAATCGATCTATCACCCTTAAACTCCAAATATGAAGTTGTTCATAAAGAAGCTTCATCTACATGGGGTGAGACAAAAACAAGGAGAAGAACTTTTCCTTAGTATTCATAGTCACCATTCGTTTCCTTAAGTTACGATTTTCTTCAATCTCAAAAGAAAACTATTTGGAAACCGATGAAAGTTACTCCAACACTGCAGCAAGCTTTTCCTCGGCTAACTTGGCTCGCCTCTTTGCCTTCTTAAACGACCAACTAAGATCTTATCTTGCTTCACAGTGGCAGCCTGCTCAATCTCGATGAGGTCCAAAGCCATCGATTGAAGATGAGAAGCCTCACTTCCTTTCAATTGGTATTAATCGGCCTTCTTAAATAATTCAAGTAGCTCCAAATCACATAAAGACCTCACGAATGTCGACGATCAAATGGCCTCCAAAAGCCCGGAAGGTTAGTTCACGACAGATGGGGAGTTAGAGTAACGATCAATCGATCGGTCAATTGTAGTAAAACGACTATCCAATGAATTCCAAAACTTCATCTCAAAGACCTGGGAATGATTCCGACCCAAAGGGAAACCCCTCCTATCCTTCATTGGCAAAGTAGGCAAGGGGCGGATTCTGCAAGTCGCTCTTTGCCTTCACGACGCCGAGTCACAGAGGTTCTCCCTTTGAGATCAATCTCGAGCACGGTCTTTCCTAGAATCACTAGCAGCCTGACCTCACCCATAGCGAGATGATTGAGAAACGAGTTTTGATGACTAGAAGAGGCTATCTTTCTCTTAACCCCTCCTACGAAGCTATTCTTGTTTGAACTTCTCTCGGATAACCCGAACGACCTCCCAAATTCTTGTCAACCAGAAGGGGCTGCATCCATAGGATAGGTGATATAATTAGCAAGGTGTTTATGTCTCTTTGCGATAAAGGTCATTCTCCCCGTTGAGATCCTTTAAAACAAAATCACGATAATAGAAGTGTTAAGAGCAAAATCCTCACCTGTTGAGCTAATTTCTCCTCTTGCTAACGTAGCGAGTCCCTTCTGATACCATCACTCTTTGTCAAATCTCATCTGCCCTCGCATCAACATCCGCCTTCGTCTTGGCCAATAGGGTGGACGCCTCCATTGACCACAGGAACTCCACAACATTAGAGGCAGCTCAAAAATCTATAGTCATATGACTCAATGCTTCTGAAAACAAAACTCGACTATCTGTTGTTGGGTCGGTGTATTGAGGAACTGAAATCAGTCGACCCTTGATGTTAATCCCCTTGATCCGAAGGAGTTCAATGCCTTTCCTCTTTCGATAAGAGATGCCAGATGGAACCATCTTAATCCCCCAACCCTAAGTGGAGAAGTAAATGAAGAACTTGCACTTCCAATTTCTGACTTGTTTCTCCAGACTGACAAATTGGAAACTACCGGTTGTTCTAAATTGGGCATAACCATCTAACTCCACGCTAAACGAGAATATGTGGCTAAATGTATCAACAGACCAGGGAACACCCTATCACCGATGGAAGATAATGTAGGTCATAATCGTTGTCATGGAGTTTGGTCTAATTTGCATGGAAATAACTACATATCAATCACAAATCAACCGGAGTTCGTTACACAGAGACAACCACAACCTGTAGCAGAACGGATCTCGACATCACTGAATCCATCGATCACCCTTTCATCTGTGCAGGTGGTTCATAACTTAATGTCATCGTTGAAAATAAAAGATTTTAATTAGCAATGAAGTCCGATGGTGATAGAATAGAACGTTTAGTTGCAGTCACCTCACAAAAGGTTTGAGGGTTCCACTTTGGAGCTATATGAGTGACCGCGACTTTATATATGCTTAAAAATATAAGTATTTAATACTGTTGCTAAAAGATTTAATCCCTCAGCAACTGTACCAAAACTTAATAACAGTTATAGATTCGATAAATATGGACGTAATAAATATTCAATAATTGTAAAGTCACACTTATCAACGCAAGTATACGTATCGCTCAAGTAATATAGGGCTCTAATGGAGTCCCAGATATCGATCCCACAGGGAGTAATATTAGAACTACAAACTAAGATTTTAGAAAAGCAATACTTTAATTGCAACAACGAAGTTCAAATTGGCTATCCGTCACTAATAGGCAATTGAAATAAATATATAATTTTAATAACTATTAAATAACTAAATATATTAATGAAGGTTCAAATGTTATATTCAACATAAGAAAGCATCATTCTCCTTGTCAATAAATTATAGTGAATGGATAAAGCGAATCAGTTCAAATTATATTGTGTCAAATAGAAGCATACATATTCTTTACCCTTTAGTCCAAGCATAAAGAACATTGACGAATCCTACGCTTGTTTACTGAATATGCGGCTAGGCTGGGAGGATACCGGCTCTCACTTCGGAGCTCCCACGTTCCCCTCGCCTGAGGGCTAATATCTTCACTTCAGCAACCAAACGATAGAACTGAATTGAGGATTTTAGTCTCTCTAAAATCTTATTTCCCTATTTATTTGCACCCAACTTCCAAGGGCTTTGACCTCCCTGAATCTTGGATGTAATCTTCACTTTAGTTGTAAAACTCAACATATTTTAACAAATCAATTGGCCAGATTGAAAGTAAATTAAGATCGAAGTGAAAAGATCATCACAATTTCTTAAACATTTTCATGGCTCCACCAATTCAAAAAACCATTTCACAAATCTTAAGGCAAGGAGAAAGACAGAGAAAACTACTCAGAACTCATGGGGAAAACACAACAAAACTCAAAATTCATATATAAAAGCAAAGTCATACAAACTACAACAATAAATAAACTTACCTCAAATTTCTCCCCAAGAAAACTCCTCGAAGTTCCTCTGAATCTCTTCTTTTCTTTACAGCACACAGAATTCCTCTTCGAAGCGGCAAGGAGGAAAAAATTTCTCACTTTCCCTCCACTCTTACAATCTCTCAAAAAATTCCTCTCAATTTAAACTCTCTACACTTCAATTTTGAGCCTCCTTCCTCTCCAGGACCTTTCTAACATCCAGGACCTATTTATTTTTTTGCCAAAATTATCTTTTAAAGTTGTGGATGAGCTTTCCCAAGAGTTGCCTAAGCATCCCTTCAAAATTTATCCTCATCCAAAGCCTAGTTGGACATAACCGTCGAGCTCGCCATCAGCGGCCTCGAGGGCACCATCGGGGGACTTTCTTAATGAATTAATTATAGAGTCTCAGGAAAATCTCACCGTCGGCGGAGTCGAAGGCGCCGGCGGGGCGCCCAGCTCCAAATTTGCTCCTTTTTACATCTTTTTGCTCCAATGACCCTAATTCCTTATTCCTGCAACAAAACATCAAAAATACATTTCTTTAAAGTGCAATATCATCAAAAACAGTATAAAATAGGTATGAAAATCTCAACATATTTTCTTCTGGTCAAAATCCCCCAAACTTAACTATTACTTGTCCTCAAGTAATTTAGTACTACCTAAAAGTTATGATCTATTGTAGTAAAGTTTTAATTCAAAAATATTATAAGTTGGATTTAAATAAATATC